AGAATAAGTTAGAGATACCTATAATAATAAACAAATAATTATTTGATTTTGCATAAGCAGTCAGTTAAGGACTTGGGAATTTTTAAGAATTTATAGTTATAGGTAAAGGGTAGTTTAATAGGAATAAATTGGAAGTGTTGAAATGTATAAACGTATAAGTTATTGAAAATAGTAGGAGTAGGGCGTTTTTCTTTTATGGATATTTCCTGGTCCGTAATAATGACATTTGAACGGATGTGAAATAATTTAAATTGGGAAAATTAGAGGTAGCTGTCAAAATAGAGAAATATTTTGCTTATTTAAATTTTTGGTCTTAAATATAATAAAATATAATTTAGTAAACCTCAATAGTTTGTTTCTCTCTTTTGCGAATAGACCCCTCCACAATTGTATAGGTAGCAGCTCCAAGGAAATAATCACCATCAATATACCGCTCGCCATTTATCATCTAATTAATTAAATAGAGTACTTGGGATGTTTTGCTACACCTCTGACATTCCGGATCGTAACAGTGGTTTCTATTTTTGTTTCTTGGCTTTATTGTCACAGTCACTCTTAATGTCCCTATATGATTTCTTCGGATAGTACCTAGTTTTCAACTTGTGTCGATGTCATCTGTGTTTATAATTTCTTGGCTTCGGTACTCTATTTCCGCCTAGAAACGCACTGTTGATCTTGTTTGGATTGTACATTTTTTGAGCTTGATATTTTGATTCTCAGATTTGCTCTAACTTGCTCTTATCAATTACAACGTGATCAATTTGATTTTGGTTCTATCGTCATTGGAGGCCGATGTCTCTTTATGTTCATACATCGTAGATTTAATAAAGAGGTTGCTAGATGCTGCTAGTTCCGCAAGTCTTAAACCATTATCATTTGAGAATGTGACTTTTTGTACCCATGTGGGGTCTTAATGCCTAGCTTTGCATTGAAATATTCCAAAATATATTGTACCATAACATACCCTGGTTCGCTCAGTAAAATTGAACGATGAGAATTTTTATTACCTTCCAAACAACAAATCTTCTGAAAAATGAAGTGAAAAACAAATAGGACCTACTTTGTGGAAATTTACTCAATTTTACTTACTGGACATACGCCCGACATAGCAAATATATGGGAAATTTAAGGGAAGTTGTGATATGTAAAAGAAACGAAAAATTTGTGAAACGTCTACTTTATTATTGAAGTAAATTGTACCTTCTTATCCTGGAACTAACGAGGGAAAAGAGCACGGCAGAGAAACCCTCGATCTAACATTCCTCAAAAATCGTAACATACTGTGTCATTTTAATAATAATTGTGAGTCATTAATTCAATAATTTACGTCAATAAAAGTAAATTAGGTACCGCCCTTGTTCTTGCGCTAAAATTTCTATTACATACACTACATTCAATCAACACTACCTATAATCAATATGGAAGAGTTTTTGTTAGTTAGCCAGTTTCCCAGCAGGTACTGAGGTCCCATACGGGAAGCTACTCAGCTATAGTTGTTTTTGAGCCAATATCTCTAGATTGGTTATTTCAATTTGTTAGGATATTCTCTCGTCAGGGTAGTAAATTCATATAAAAACATTATTTATTATCAACACGAGTTTTCGGCTTCCTTTGATAGATGCGGCCACACATTTTTACAACATCCGTTAACCCCAATAGTCAAAGAAAATATATCTGGCCACACACAATTTTTTTTAAATAAATCCAGTTTTCTTTTTTTTCTGCAGAGGGAACAATAATTAATAAAAGCCCCAACTTTGGCCACAAATCAAAAGTTTCCGTTGTTGGTCATTAAATTTTGCCTTTTTGCCTCTCGTGCCCCCTCTGATGGCGGGAGGAGGGCACAGCAAACATGACCCGAATAATTTATTCTGTCAGCCCAAGTGATTAATTATCGTTAAGTTTTAAATACCCACAGAGAAAAAAAAAAAACATTGAATTACGATTTTCACTTAGTCAAGTCACATGATTTTTGCAAATTCTTGAAAATCTTCTTTGTAGCGCACAATGAATAAATCAGAGGTGGAGAACGAATAGACACAAATGTAATTTCAGTCGCCATCAATTTTGGGAAGCTTTCCGAAAGATTAAAAGCAACAAATCGTCGGTCAACGAGCGCTCGCAGTCTAGAGTTTGTACCAAAATTGGGAGATTTTTCCATTAAGAAAATATGCCGCATAAAACCGGTGTACTCCACTTAATGGCGTCATTTCTTTTGATTAATACAAAACCGTTACTCTCGGAGTGGAGGAGATTAAAAACATCGACTTTCTTTTCAGCTTTTTCAGGAGAAAAAGCGACCTCAATTTTTTTTTTTTTCCGCCCTCTTTTCAGCTTCTTTTAATCCTTGGAGTGTCTTGTTTTCCGGCCAAAGATCGTCTTCTACAGATAAAGAGATAGATGGCGCTTTCAAAACGAATTTTATTTGATATTTTTATTAAAATTCATTTTTTAGAGGATTGGAAAGCAAGGTTGCAAAGAACACCTTTAGCAAAGTTTTATGATTGAAACTCAAATCTCATCAATTAGGTATGTCAATTGGTTTGAGACAATTTTAAGATTTCTTTTTTAAAACGTAACTGCTCAATTCACACTTAATTTAACCCTTTTGGTTCAATTTAATAAATAGAGGGAAAAGAAAGAGGATCAACTTCGAATAGCAATTTAGAATTCTGGCTTGAAATGTACTTTAAGAGTTATCGGAACGTTAACGTTATTTTGTCGATGAAATAAGGTTTAAAAATTCTCTATGTAAAAATGTTACATAACTGAGAAAATGCAAATTTTTCAGACATGCAGTTTGGAGTATAATCTAATTTTGCCATCTACTCTTGTATTTTCTATTCAAGAATTCCCAAATTATTAATATTATTCTTTATTTTATGCATCACAATAATTTTTGTCGATATTCCAGGTCCTTAAATTTTAAATTTTTTATCAATTTTCCGGTTCTTGTTCTATGTTTTTACAAATTCTACAATTTTCTCTATTTTTTTTTCACACTGTCTGACAGTCTCAGAAGTCTAACGCGTATTTTCAAATCTTGAGACACTTTCTAGTCTTAAGATATCTGGAGTTTGGACTGATTCAAATTAAGAGCCTTTATAGAACATTCAAAATCTATAGATTTTAAGGTGTCTCTACAGAATATTCAGTATTAAAATTACTTAAGTATTGAGTCTTAATTCTATCAATTTTCAGTCTTTTCAAAAGCCTATTAGGTCTTAAACCTAGATCATGAAGGCTTTATATCGAGAGACTTCAAATTTTCTATCCATGATTGCATTGAGAAAAATTATTCACCAAATCAAGATTCAGTAGTAGTTTTTTCTTCTTCCACTAAAATAAGTTTCCAGAAACCTGAAAATATTTAAAATCTTTGATGTCTCAAACATCTTCACTTTCAAATCATGAATCTCAGGACTTTCAAGTCTTCATGATAATGGACTTTTCAAACTGTAAATTAAGAGTTGAAGAATATTTAACATCTTTACATTTCAAGACATCTCTATAAAATGTTCAGAGGCTTCAGGTCTTAAGTGGGTAAGAGAATAACATAAAGTTTTTCATATCAAACTCATACATGTTGAGACTTGGGTTTCAAGTCTACAATCTTCAATAAGCAGATAGGGGTCTAAGGTATTAAAAAACGTCTTTATAGTCTTCATTATCAAATCTTCAATGCCTTCAAAGTTTTTAATTTTGACTCCTCAGCTTTAGAGTTTATCATCATTTAGAGGCTTTGGAACAAAAAATCTTTAAAGTTTTCAACATCTTTAGAATCTTCGAATGTTTCAATTGCAGTATATTCACTGAAGATTCAATAGACATTCTAAAATCTTCAAAATCAAGTCTTCAGAGCTTTTAGAATCATCAACGCCTTTAGAGTTGAATTTTTAAAACTTTTGGAATATGTACATAAATCAAAAGCTCTAATTTTTTGGCCTCTATAATATCTCTTCTCTAAGATCTCAGAAAAAGAGTCAATTTCAAGTCTTCAAGAGTCTTAAAAGAGATTGCATCAAATCAAGAGATCTTGAGTCTTTGAAGTTTTCAGCATCTGTAGAATCTTGGAAGACTTCAATCCTAGTGGAGTCGACATTCTAAAATCTAAAAGTCAAGTCTTCAGAGCCTTCAGAATCATCATCGTCTTTGCTTAGAACTTTTGGAGTATTTAAATCAAAAGCTTCTCAATTTTTGTCTATTCCTGGCTCTTAAACTTTTGTCTCTCTCAAACTTGTCTAAATAAGAAAAATTGAAAAGCTATTTTTATCATACCCACGTTTATAATAATTCAATATGGATATTTTCGAATGAAATTTACCTTAAACTATAAGTATACTTACTTACAATTGACTAGATACTTACAATGTACTTAAATCGATATTGTAAAGTTGTTGCTCATGGTCTTAGCTTGATAAGTAATCAAAACTCAAACACAATATCCATCTAGTAGACAAATAATTGTTTAGCAACTCCCCAGCATTATATTCGGCCAAAAACTTTGAGGGATGTTTACTTCTGGAACAAGTCTATTATCGTGTGATGGTGTATACATAATGTGAATAGTGATATTTTTGGGTAACGTGAAATAGGAGAAAAAATACATTTCTGTTTGTCTATCAATTTCTCTTCACTTTCCTCTATTAATTTTTCAATGTTTGTCTATTCCTGGCTCTTGAGTTCTTGTCTTTTTCAAATTTTTATAAATACGAAAAATACTAATGAGATTTGTGAAGGGATCAACTTCTCCAACTATTACAACGTATTTGAGCAAACTTCAACCTTATTTCAATCAATAAAAAACCTTTGAATTTAATGCTCGGTCGTGCGTCATTGAATCAAGAATCTCTTAAGGGGGCATTAAATACGGAACTTTTTATTTAAATATTTTTCTGATTGGGATAAACATTCTACAGAAGTAAAAACCCAACGTTTGATGTGTATTTTTTTTTTATTGCAAATTTCCATTATTTTTTTTTTGTTCAAGACAAGTGAAGAATCATAAAAAGTTACTACAATTTTTGCATTTACAATAATCAATACACTATACATATATTTAAAGGCGCATGACAGCTGCCAATGCATTAAACATTGGCACCTGTCCATTATTAGAATAAATATTTACATAACATGTTTTTGGGTCCTAAATATCTAAATCAATTTGTATATACAATCACAATCAAAGCCTTAAAATAACACAAGTCGCAGTCAGTTACGACTGCTTAAATGATAATGAAATAAAATGGTGATGACCATTGACCAGAACACACTTTAATGCTTATCTATTATGGAATGTTAATATGGCACAACTTTTTTTCTAGCCCACTTTATGTACACACACCGACAAAACCGATTTGTTTGTGCAATAGAGAGCCCCAATTTAAAAACTTCTCCGTCTCCTTTTACCAGAGACAAAGTACAACTTATCTCATACATACTGAAAGTTCTCTTTGTTGCACAGCAAAGGTTCGCGCTCGATTTTATTGTCAAACTCGTACGAGCTCAGCCAATCGCGATGTTCCGTTTTGGCGCAACCGAAACAAGTGCACTCAAAGAATTCCAGTATATTTCGTAGAGGTCCTTTGGAAAAAGGACTGCGGCCTTTGTTGGCAATGAAATGTCCGTAGCGTCCTTTATTCATACGCTCATTGGTCGTCATACCCAAGATAATTATCTGTGATTGCGTTAAATATCAATAGACTTATTGGTATATAAACATATACTACTCACCTGATACAATTGACAAACAAGTAACATAAACACCCAAATGCCGTGAAAGAGGGCATTGACTGACACCCAAGCCACCCAAGTATCGCACTGGGACACAGCTACAGCAATTTCGATAATAGTTTTGTTTGCTCGATGCTCCAAAGCGTTGCATTGCGGATCTTTTTGCCAATAACCCACAGCTCCGTTTAGCATTTGGGCGCACATTATCACCAAACATGCCAGGAAACCGATAAAGAATTTATGGTTTTTTGCACCTAGATTAATCCGTGATTTAGTTAAGTTAGAATTTTTTTATCAGGATTGATTACTTACCAATACAATTTGCAACCCATGGACAGTGATGATCGAATCTGGCAACGCAGTGATTGCAGATGGCGCAGTGTTTCGATCTGATTGGCCTGCGCACCAGACAGGCGGAACAGAAGCTGCTGGGTTCGAAGCCTCCTGGACCTTTTTCAGCCAATTCCAATATGGTCTATTTAAATATATTAAAAATGACATAAGTTAAATTCTAATGGTGGATTTATATTTGTTTATTTACGACTAATGTATAATGTGCGTATTATATTTGTGATTTTGGCAGTATAATGACATATGTTATTCCTCCAGGGATTAATGACGAGTAGCGGGATTAATGGTCATTATTCCACAAAAGTGTCAGTGTCAAACGTGCAGTGCTTGTGGATTTGTATTGAAAATTATGAGAATAACTTAAAAATACCATATCAAAAGTTGCTCAAAATAATAAAATGAACAAGTTTTCTTTATATTTTTTTTTTGTAAAGTTGAAAATAGGCGAACTACCCCTAAAAACAAAAAGGTGGTGAAAAAAAAATCCTTTTAATACAATGTTAATTGCAACTTTTTATATGCACTAAAGGCGAGAAAAGAAAAAAAAAATTAATCTATACCCCTAAAAACTAAAATTTTCCCGAGGGAAGTGTCCCCCCGCTGAATGAGGGTGAGTTACAAAAAAAGTTGAATAGGAAAAATTGTCATCTTATAAAACTTTTATTGAGAAAATTTTTTTGTAAAAAAATAAAAAAACTTTAAACTACCCCTATTGAAAAACGGCAGGGGGTGAGTAAAAACTTCATAAAGCAAATGTTTTATAAGTTGTAGAAAATTTTTTCACGTTGGTTAAAATTTTTCATTTTCATTATAAAATTTCAAACGGCCCTTATGACCACAGACGGCCCTTAATCAAAAAAATTTTTAGATAAACATTGTAGATGAAATAATGTTGCACATCTTTTATTTGAAACATTTTTTTGTAAAGTCAATAGGTACCAAGTTATCGCCAATGGCGCACTTTCAACCCCTATAGCGCAAAACGCCAGAGGGGTGAATATTTGATATTTTCGGTTTTATGATCAACCACCCGCCCTCTATCATCCCTGAAAAGTTCATTTGGGTAGGAATTTTTTTTTTACAATACATGTATTTTTCGACTATTTTCCTAGACTATTATATTTATACTTATCTTTTGCAAATCACTGCTCGAATGTTCAGATAAAAACATTTGGGTTGTTGATAATATTCAATACATATTTACATTGCCAATTCGCCATGGTCGCGTCAAATAAATGCTTTAAATGCTTCAATGAGTGTGTGTTTAAAGAGGATAAAGAAAAAAAGGATCTGTTTGGATTTCCATGCGACATGTGCTGCCGCACTATTTGTGCAGACTGTAATAAAATGATGGCACAAGAAATCAGGGTGATTCCTAGTACATCTCGTTCATTGATTCATCTATGTCCTGACTGTATCATTGAATTAAAACAACTCCCAAGCATGCTGAAGAAAATACCAGCATTAGAACAGGCAGTAGTTGACCTTGAAAGTAAAGTAAAAAACCTAGAGCAGCAAAACCAACAACCTGATCTCGATAAGGAAATCAATGAGATAAAGGAAAAAATGTCCAATTATGAGAAGAATCAACAAAAATCTGAAAAATCATGTAACCAAAACCTAAACTTGAACAACCAATCTCAGATTATTGATAACGAATCCTTATGTAAAACAATCAAAAATGAATTAAAAAGCCAATCAGAGCTTCTAGCAAGTCAACTGCAAACTGTGGTGAGCAATATCAGAGATGCTAACAAGGATTTAGTACGTTTTCTGACTGAAAAGTCTCCTGATGAAAATTGGAAAAGGAACACATTTGTGAACAATCAAATTAACCTCGATACTGTTAGAAATGCAACTGCAAATGCTACTGAAAAAATCATGGCTCATAACTCAAATCATAAATCCTCGAAAAACCTGGCTAAACAGAAATTGGATAGTCGTGGAGAATGTGCTAGCAGCTCAAAACAGGGAATCAAGGGAGCAAAGAAAAATAGCAGTGGCTTGACTGCAGCTACCAAACAGTCATGGTTCTATGTGGGAAATTTGGGAGCAGGAACCTCTATGGAGCAATTGAAAGAACATCTTACGAGTCACAATATCCATGTGTTAACAATTGATAAATTGCCCACTAAAAATCAACATGTTGCTTCTTTTAAAATTTCAGTTGATCCTAAATATGAGCCTGACCAGTTGGATGCTGAAATATGGCCGGAGGACACTACAGTGAAACCCTTTATTTTTAATAATAGAAACAAGCAGAACAGATGGCAACAAGGAAGACGTTTTTTCAATACCTCAAAACAAGTCATAGATGGGCATGGAATCAGTTGCTACTACCAGAATGTCAGAGGACTAAGAACTAAACTCAGTGCATTAATATATTCGGTGATTGTGGAGGAGTATGACATCATTTTACTTACAGAAACTTTTCTAGATGAAAAAATAGATAGTTTGGAATTGGGTATGGCTAATTATCAAATATTTAGGTATGATCGATCACATAAAACTTATCCGCTTTACAGTTAGATTCACCTGTAAAAAGTATTGAACATGTATTTGTTTCTATAATTTTAAAAAGATCCAAAAAATTAATAATTGGTTGTGCATATATACCCCCAGCATATTCTCTTGAAGTATATGAAGCTCTTTCTGAATCTGCATCCTTTGTTTTGCAAGATTACATAAGTGATGATTGTGATATTATAATTTGTGGCGATTTTAATTTACCAGACACTTTCTGGTCGAATGATGATTATGGTGCAACTCCTCATGGGATTGTAACACAGCAGGTGGTGTGTTTGTCTCACATTATGGCATTTTTTAATTTAAAACAAATAAATGCTATTGCCAATGCAAGGGGTCGACTTCTGGATCTAATTTTTAGTAGTGAGGTAACCAATGTTTCGGCTGTTGACCAACCGTTGCTTGATCAGGCTAGCAAATTTCATTGATATAAATATGTACTTATCACATGTAGACTGGAATTTTATATATAATAATGATGATATTAATGTAGTAGTCGAATTGTTCTATAATGTACTAAATGTGGCAATTGAATTGTTTGTTCCAAGGCGTAGGGTTAAAAACCTAAAATTTCCCACTTGGTTTAGTGATGATTTAAAGAAACATGTTTTGATGAAGAAGGTTGCGCATAAATCTTACAAACAGTCCAACTCATTGGTTGACTATCAGAATTTCTCAAACCTTAGGCAAAAATGCAAAGAACTAGTAAAAGATAGCCATATTAATTATATAAATGAACTCGAGAATAATATTCAATCCAAAAGGGACTTTTGGAGATATGTAAATTCCAAAAAGGATAGTACTGAACTGCCTAAATATGTGTTTTATGGTGAGGAGAAATCGGACTGCCCTCAAAAAATTGCTAATTTATTTGCGCAACATTTCTCGTTGGCATATGTAAATCATAGAGAGAAATACATTGATTTCAAGTATTCTAAGACTGTAGATTTGTTTTTTTGTAATATAAGTTTGATGGATGTATTTAATTGTATAGGTAATTTGGATGATGATTTGGGATGCGGGCCAGATAGCATTCCAGTTTACTTTCTAAAAAATTCTAAATGTGTTTTGTCTGAAGTTTTTGTCAGAATATTTAATAAGTCATTGTCAAATTGTCATAGAAATGTTCTCTCGACTGCTCAACATGGATTCATTAAAGGAAAATCAACTATTTCTAACCTCTTATTATATCAAGATAATCTTGTTAATGCTGTAGAATTGGGAACTCAAGTAGATTCCATCAGCACTGACTTCAGTAAGGCTTTTGATAAGGTTAATATATCTATACTTACAAAAAATTAGAGGCCTTGGGCATTCGGGGGACTTTTTTGACATGGATAAATAGCATTCTGGGCGGTAGAGTACAATACGTCAGAATTAAAATTTTTATTTCATTTCCAATAAATGTCGTATCTGGTGTTCCTCAAGGAGGACATCTTTCTCCCTTGCTATTTAATTGCTATATTAATGATGTTGAAGATTTTATCCATCACAGTGACATATTGTTGTATGCAGACGATTTGAAGTTGTATAGGCCTGTTAAGTGCATATCAGACTGTAAGCAGTTACAACTAGACCTGAATTGTTTTGCTCTGTGGTGTCACCTGAATGACCTAATCCTTAATTTAAATAAATGTAAAACCATAACCTTTTCTAAATCTCATGCATCAATGTTTTATGAATATAAATTAAATGAACAAGTAGTTGAAAGAGTGGACTCTATTGAGGATTTGGGAGTTACATTTAGACAGGACCTAACATTTAACTTACATATTATTGAGAATATTTGTAATAGGGCAATGAAACTTTTGGGATTTGTATTTCGCACCCTCAAAGATTTTAATAATATTTTTACTATAAGGAGCGTTTACTGTTCTGTAGTGAGATCCCTTTTGGAATATGCTACCCCAATTTGGTCACCACATTATGGGGTCCATATAAATTGTGTTGAGAGGGTTCAGAAACGGTTTCTAAGGTATATTGCCTATAAGATACATATACCATCAGAAGAGGTCTGCTACAATGACCTGTTGCGGTTGCTGGGTCTTTCTAGTTTAGAGGCACGTAGAAGGAATTATGATATTTGTTTACTTTTCAAGTTGCTTAATAACTTAATTGACTGTCCCCCTTTGTTGAACAGCATTTCCCTGCGTGCCCCTGTCAGACAGACTAGGCATCTTTTTCATAGCGAGTATCATAGGACTAATTATGGTTTTTTCTGCCCTATGGCTAGAATATGCAGAGAACCTAATCAGCTACCCAACAATTTTGATTTTTTTGGCATGTCTCTGAAAACTTGTAAACATTTGTTAAATAGTCTGCAGCGCTAAATGTCAGTGTATTTATATGTACCGTAAATGTTAAATTTTAAGTTCTTGTGTTTTTCGTTAATATTATAACGTCATATATTTTTGTATTATATTATTTACTGTAAATGGCTTGTCCGTTAATAAAGTTTATTATTTATTATTATTAATAGTATATTATGCAATGATCATGTAATGATAACCATTAATACACGAGCATGTTGTAGGATACGAAACGAGCCGCAGGCGAGTTTCGTATATAACATGCGAGTGTATTAATGGCCATTACATGAGAGTTGCATACACTATTTTTTCTACTTGCATTAATAAACGAAAAACATATTTATTTTATAAGAATAGTAAACTTCTCAACTGGTGACAATTGTTGACAACTTGACAATTTCGAAAATTAAGATCTAATAAACGTCATTTGGGCATAAATTCCCCACTCGATTTATTAATTTTTCTCTTGTTTCTTCTGGTAAATACTAATAGAAATAATCCAAAATTCCAAAGCAAGTCTGTTATTTTTATATAAACATTGTTCATGTTTAAAATACTCGGTTCCAGTGGCTGAAAAATCTGTATCATAATGAAAATCTGTATCATAATGAAGTTCATTATGAAACAGATTTTAGGCGTATTATGAAACGTCAGTAGAAAAAGTTTATTATTCCACAAAAGTGTCACTGTCAAACGTGTAGTGCTTGTGGATTTGTATTGAGATGGATGAAATTTGCTATTAAAAATCCCAAATAATTTAATTTGTCGTAAATAAAGTAGAGTATACTACTCGCAATAATGGCTATTATTCCCTCGGAATGTTACTCCCTCGCCGCTGACGCGGCTCAGTTCGTAAATATTCCTCGGGAATAATAGCTATCATTATTGACTCGTGGTATAATCTACTATTATACAGACACAAAATATAACATAGTTACATATACAGGGTTGTCATTATGTATGGAAACTGGCCCAATATTTCAAAACCCGCTTAAGAAAAATGTATAGCCTTGTGCATATGAAAGTAATACAAAATTAGAATAAGAGGTCAGTTTCACACATGACGATTTTGTCTCATTCTAATTATGTACCTGCACTAATTTTATATGCGAACGACTGTACATACAAGCTTTCCTACCAGGGTACTCATTCTTGAAACAGGGACCCATTGCTCTTGTGTGAACGATTGTCTGTCTTTGTTAATGTTATGCAAATATTAATATGAGGACAAAGACAGAACACGCACCCGTTTCAAAAATAAGGACCCCTCTGTGGGTTTTTGGAAATGCCGATTCAATGGTGGTATTTGCAATATTACCCAGCTTGCCGGTTCTAAGATGTCGTACGTAACTTCATCATTCAATTTTTTTATTCTAATTGCTTTTTGAATCATGACAAAGTTATGAAAAATTGCCAATATTTCCATTAAAATTTGAACAAATCAAAATAATTACAGCAAAAATCCTTACCCTAAATTGAAGTTTCTTATTGGTGAGAACAACGCCGGCGTCGCCCAGCCAACTCTTCAAAAAATTATACCACAACAAGGCAGAGGAAGACAGAAAAACTACTGACGTAGCAAAGCTCACCATCGGCGCCATGTATATAAGCCACGTGACATAGAACCACATTTTCGTCGACAAGTATATGCTGAGCGGCAGCAGCGCCATCAGGCGGTCATCGTAGAACACTTGACCTAAATAGTGTATAACGATATAGAGACAAACTAACAAGAAAACTTTGATAATGACTAGAAGATTGGTGCCCATGATGGCGCCGGCGATGTAGAAGGCCATGAACGGCGTGCCCACCATGCCCCACCATCGAATTCTCTGTGGACAAGACAGAAAAACAATCCATATACATATAGCAATGATGAAGGGAATCAAATGCTAACCTTATCTTTGGCGAATTTTGTCAGGAAACCTTTGGGGGATTGCGCGTGAGCGTGCTCCTTGATCATTTCGGCTACTTTGGGGCTGATCCATAGGGAACCCACTTGCGATTGGATCATTTGAAGCGGCGATTCACCTCGATTATTTGGAATATTTAAATTTGCGTGACCCTGAAAACAATAATATGATAATAAGTTTAAAATTTTTAACTTGCAAGTATTTACTTGTAAAACCAAAGTAGAAATAGCGGTAGTATTCCTAGCCAAAATCGCCCAATGCAGTGCTGTATTCCCTTGCGTAAAATCCGTCAAATTCGGATTGGCGCCTAACGTCAATAACAGCCTAGTAGGATCCAAGCTGCACATTTTCCACACGGCCCACATCAACGGCGTCATCCCGGTACGGTCAGTCAAATCCGGACTGACGCTGCGAGCCACAAAATAGGCCACCAGTGCAGTGTGACCGAACTGTGCAGCCAAGTGGATGCAAGAGCATCCTTCTGCGTCGCGTAGAGTAGGATCGGCGCCTGCGTTCATCAGGATGACGCAGGCTTCAAGGTGGCCCTGGCGTGTTGCCCAGTGGAGCGGAGTGGCGTTCAGTTCACCGCCGATGGCGTCCACTGTGGCGCCTTTTTCGATGAGATAGCGCATGATGTCTTTGCGATTGTTGATGGCTGCCCAGTGTAGGAGAGTGACGGTTTCCGAGTCTTTTTGGTTGACATCGTAGCCTTCTTCGATTAGGTGTTTCACGCAGGAGAAGGCACCATACTTGAAACAAATAACTTGAATTGAAGAAGTAGTAAGTAGTCTTTTATTATAAAAAATATAAATTTCTATTTTTGAGGCAGCTCTTTAAAAACGCCAAAACACTAGCCGAATATGATGTAATTTGATTTGTTCCCACAAGCAATAATTAACACTGCAAATTAGTAAAAAATTTAATGTTGTCAGATTGTAGTTGCCATTGTTGATTTCCAAGATTGTCTTTAAATACTTGGATGGAGTTTGGGGGGTCTCGAATGATCATCTAGAAACAAAATCTCAACATAAAAAAATTTAAAATTTCATCATTTTAGTACTAAGACTACCTCAAAATAGAATTTCACACCCAAGCATAGTTGCCAGTTGATAAGTTTTCTCACCAGAAAGTGAACATTTTTATTGTATGAAATGGCGAGGGAATGTGGTACATGTTCTGAAGTAGTTGGAAAAGATCAAAAATATGTGTTATGTGATAGCTGCATGTTACCTTTTCACACCGATAAGACTTGTTTGGGCTTGGCGGCTGTGATGTGAAAGCTGTAGTACTGAAAAGTAGTAGTTTTGTCCTGAATGCAGAGAAGCTTTTAAGAAAATTCCTAATTGAATAAAAAAAGTCAAGAATCTCAAAACTGATGTAACTAATTTAAAAAAACAAGTAGCAGAAAGCAGAAACTATTGAAAACATGAAACCTCACATGAAACTGATTCAAGAAAAAATTGATAGTCTTGAATCAGCACCCCATCAATTAGCAACAGCAAATATTAGTGAACAAATTGAAAAACTAATTATTGAAATGGAGGAAAGAAAGCTCAGATCAAAAAATGTTATTATATTAAATATTATTGAGTCAGTAAAAGCAAACAGAATAGAACGAAGTTTGAGGAAATACTTGATAAGTATTTTAATGGAAAAATGTATTTTGGTTGGTGATGTAAATATTGACTTCAGTAATAGGTCTGTTTCTGCAGAAATCACAAACCAGTCAGAGTGAATTTCATTGGTTGAAACTAGTTTGCTGACTGTTTCTGACTGTTTTCATTTTTCAACCAATGAAATTCGCTCTGACTGGTTTGTGATTTCTGCAGAAACAGACCTAATATTGGTTTTTATACACAGAAAATTGAAAATATGTTAGACTCAGGTGGCGTTGCTCAATTGATATCAACATATACCAGATTAACAAAGGACTCAAGAACTTTAATTGATTATGTTGCAAGTAATTTGGAAAATGTTAATAGAGCAGTAGTTAATTTGCCAAAAATTACTGATCACTCATTAATTTCAATAAATCTTTTCAATTGCTATAAACCTAGAATAGATAAATATATGTATGTCCGACCGTTGAATGATGATACTTTTGGGGAAATTAATTCACGAATATTGTCATTGAATTGGAATTCAAATACTGCAGACGTTAATACTATGACGATTCGCCAGGCTGTCAAGAATCTCTCGGTATTCCCTATTGAGTATTCTAGAATCTAGCGAATTATTCTACTTAATTCGGGAAAATAAGATTGTCGTGTGTATTCTAAATTTTGCAGGAATAGATTTAGGGATATATGAAGGCGGCTATTGCTTTGTAGTAGTTAGTTTCAGTTCGCCTGTGATACGATTTAAATAATGATTGTGAAGAGTTTAATTGTTGAGTTAGTTATTGAAGTAATTAGTGTCAGAGTGTATCGTTACGTGGAATAAATTATTGCTGTGTTAATTGGACTTTTATTTTTGGAATAAACGAAACGAACAACGAACCCAAGATTTCTGTCAGGCAATCCAAAGCGTGACAATACGGTTGTAAAAGAAATATTGTACGTTTGTTGTTGATTAGGTTGCACCAGTGAAAAAAAGTAAATGTAATCAACATCATCATCAACAAGCTAGAGCGTGTACAAAGAAAATTCTTGAAATATATAGCTTTTAAACTATATACCAGCAGAAAATATAATATAATATAAATTATAGCGAATTGGAAAATACACTAAATCTACAAAGTATACAAAAACGGAGAACTATAGCAGATACAATAATATGCTTTAAGATAATTTCCAATCAAATTAGCTGTCCTGAGCTCCTGGAAAATATAAACTTTCACGTTCCTTCAAGAACATTGAGAGAGAACACTACTTTTAAAACAAAATTTCACAGAACATCTTATGGACAAAATTCTCCTCTAACAAGAATAATTAGAACAGCAAACTCGTTTAATGGTGATATTTTTAATATAAGTTTGGGATCCTTGAAAGCCAAATTAAAAAGTGTATAGACTCGATTTTAGATTTAAGTATATGCGCAATTATGCACCTACGTTCAGGAACCTCTACTTTTTTTTTTTTTTTTTCTTTTTTGATGGAAAGTTCTGTATTCAATGTTTTTATATTCTATTTTATGTTTTTTTTTATTGTTTGTATATAATATCTTATAGTTTGTTTCAATTTTACCTATTCTTGGATACTATCTTTCTAGTTTTAGTACTATTGTACGATTGGGTTTTAACCCGTTTGTTATTGAATAAATAAATAAATAAATAATTCAAATCAGGTACCATAAACATAGAAATATAAACATAAATTCAATAAATATTCAGATTGATAATTGTAGGATTGAAATTGAAAGTAAAATAAAATATTTAGGGTATCTGATAGATAATATAATAAACTTCGATTAGATAAACATGCTGAATATTATAATATCAAAGATCATAGAGAAATAGTATTTTCCTATTAGAATTTCAAGATCACTTTCTTTAAAGGCTCATTTGAAGGTTAGACTCACATGTTATAACTGTATCATCAGACCTCACTTTGACTATCATCCATCATACCTCAGTACTAAAACGATGGAATGATGAAACTTTGAAAGGTCATAGCCAGGGTTGGATGAACCCACCGGAATACTGGGAAATCCCTGGTGGGCTGTTTGGAGTGTGGGCCGATCTTTGAAACAACAGAACCTTTATCAAGATACCTTTAAACGGACGGCCTCAATAAGGCTGTTCTCACAGAAATAACAAACCAGACAGAGCGTTTTTGATTGGTGCAAATCGCCAACAAACTGTTTTCTGACTATTTTCAACGAATGAAATTGGCTCTGACTGGTTTGTGATTTCTGTGAGAACAGTCCCAAAGCACAGAGAATGGTCCATTCAACTGAAAAAGGAACAACGCAACATGAAGAAGTAATCAAAAGTGGATATTATGATTATGTAGTTTATTTTCCACAGCTTTGTAAATGAGACTATGTCTTCCTACAATAAAGCAATTTTGATTTAATTTTCTAAAATTCCTAAAATGTGTATCAGTTGCTTGTGAAAAAAATAAAATAAAAGAAGATGCCAAGGGAGAATGCAGAAATGATACTTCTCTAGCTACTGCTATTTTTAAATTTGAGGTGGAATAGTACATGATGTGGCCATGGATCGCATCAAAGCAAAAATAGAGGCATATTATTTGAGACATAGTGTGTTTGTGCAGACTTTTCATTTTTGGATCCAAAGAATTTTTCCGAACTAATGCCAGACGCTGCTTTGAATAAAATTAGATACTTACCTAGGTGACTATAAAAGGACAGAGCTCTATGACCTCCCTGAATTTAACAATGAAGATGAAGATGATACAGGGAATGAATTAGAACTTTCTAAATGTTATCCACATATACGCTGCAAACAACCTCTGGTTTTCTATAAGTAAATACCCATTTCACATCTGTCATCTTTGAGGCCTACCAGTATGTCCAAACTTTGGCGTGCAGTAGGGTGCGAAACACTTAAATACATAAAAGATCGATCAAGGAATTGACTTACAATGAAAAATTTGGATGCATTGGTGATAATGAACCTAAATATTAATAGATCACATCTAGGAGTAATGATATGCGGCATGAATCGATCAATAATCTAGGGTATGGGCCGCTAGACTGAAATTTCCCTGCCCACTTCCAAAAGTTCGTCCAACCCTGGTCATAGCTTTTCTTCTATTATAGATAGAAAGCTGAAACTTTCAGCGATTCCTATTCCAGTAGAGGACTACAATCCCTGAGAATTTCAGCTCATTTGGACTTATAGTTTCAGAAATAAAATCGTGTTAAACAGTTTGGGGTTATTTACCACATTTTCAATTTTTCTGAGTGTCTTTTTCATAGAATCTTGCTTCAAATCTAAGAAAAATTTAGTGTATGGAGTTTGGGGAATTCCAAAGGACCATTAGGACACAAATTCTCAACAAAAAGACTTTTGTAATTTCATCGTCTTAGTACTGAGGTTACCTTATGATTCAGATTTTGGAAAACTTTGAAAGGTCATACATTTTTGGTAACAGTTTCATATATCCCCAACACCTAATTTTGAATTAATTTTGTAAAATATAATTAAATAAGTGTTTAAATAGATGATAACTTCAACTAAAATCATTTGGCGCAAATGGTTTATAAATTTTAAAAAAAAAGGGTCTATACAAAATATATGTTGGGGATTTATTAAATAATTACCCCTAAGTAACAGTTTCATATATCCCCAACACCTAATTTTGAATTAATTTTGTAAAATATGATCAAATAAGTGTCTAAATAGATAACTTCAATTAAAATCATTTGACGCAAATGGTTTATATATTAGAAAAAAAATAGGTTTATTTAAAAATATGTTGGGATTTATTGAATAATTACGCCCCTAAGTAACAGTTTCATATATTCCCAACACCTAACTTTGTATTCATTTTGTACAATATGATCAAATTAGTATCTAAATAACTAGTTTCAAGAAAAATTATTTGGTGCCAATGATTTATAAATTAAAAAAAAAAAATATGTTCATATAAAATATATGTTGCGGATTTATTAAATAATTAATGGGGTATTTAGTATCAAAAAATCAATCCTAACTGGCGCTCTCCCTCGTACTTAAGTACTATTGTAAATTAAAAAAATATATATTTATTTATATAAGTATTTATTCAACATTATAACAACAACTTCTAAACAAATAAGTCACATTGCTCCGGTTCAAAAG